GAAAAACGGCTTTGGGCAGCAGTATTAATATTGAGAAATGTTTTCCAACGTAATCTGATCTTCTTCAGCTATACTCTAAAGTTTCTCACGTGTTTGCATTTCCTACCTGAATGTGTGTTCGCACACAGACCCATTCATCCCGGTCGAGCATCTCCGGTTGTCGGACATCCTACCTGTCGTTCAGACGTACGTTCCCGACTGGACTATCTCACTCCGCGTGATATGAATTCGCGATCCGCTACCACCAATACATCATCACACGGGACTCGTATAACATTAGATGATGTCCTAGATTTCCACGGTCCCCACAATGCACAGGTACTCGGTCGTCGTCCACTACACTGCAGCCTGGAAGAGGAAGATCAAGAAAGCTCACCACCCAGTCTGCTACGCAGCTCCAATCCAACCACAACGCGCACGAATGCGGCTTCCGATTTATGCGAATCGCTGTGCGTCTCTCTGTCCCGTTTTCGATTGCCACCTACACCGCCACCGGGTGAGACTTCGTTGTCACCAAAGCCTCGAGCTCGAACTGGACGCGAGCTGGATTCAGGAGATCTGTATTCCGAGGTGCCAGCTACATTGATGCTTTTCCGTTCGTTTCCACTGTTATGTTCAGTTACATATCATTTATTCACCATGAATAAGTTGACCGTGTATTACTAAAACCGGCATTTACAGAGATGAAATCCTAATGTCAAAAGTTCATAACTTATTAGATACAATAAAATTGTAGGAACGAATAAACAAAGGTAAAATATGTTCCTTTTTAAGTACCCATTAGAAGCTCGAAAGGTCTCTTAAACCTTTTAAAATACCCGTTTCTCAGCGATATTTGCAATACCTTTTCTGTGTCTTACTTTTTCAGACCGTTCATGGCTTTTCCTTGGGCAAAATCTTCTAACAAACAATACAAGTTTTGGTAGCCTATCCAACGTTATTCACTCAATAGACTGCTTACTCTCTCTCTCTCTCTCTCTCTCTCTCTCTACTCTATTGTTTACAGTCGTTTTTTAGACCAGGTGGTATTGCAATGTACTTAAGTGTCACGAAAAGCTCACCGTAATAAAACTACGATGCGATTGAACGACCTAACCATTGTGGAGTTCACATCCAACCGTGACAGATCTCTTATGGCTAGGTGCAACCGCCGTGTCACGTTGTATTATTACGGCTCTCCAGCGTTTTCTGATGATACATATTAAGATCCTGCTCAAACGTTGGTCATAGCGGTGTTTGGATGACCATCAAAATGCCCAACTAACGGGCCTTCTGCACGCACTGTTCACGGGAAGTCAGCTACCCTGGAACCAATCCGACTAGACTGCATGAGCAGCTTACTCACAAACCTATGCGTAACTCGTTTGGGTCGTGTAGTTGCGTACTGTCGGTGACTTCAAGAAACGACAAACCCCACGACAAAACTGTCTCTCCAACTAATGTTGTTTCTCGCTTTTCACGCGAACTTTACTACATTTTTTAAGAATTTGGTCACCAGCCAAGGGGGAAACTGAAATTGAATATTTATTTCGATTCCACTTGACGGTAAGGAAAATAGGCCGAAAAAAGGATAGTTGTCATTCCGATTGAATTGTCATTCATTAAGCGGACAAATGGCTTAGTTCAGTCGGTAAGTAGGCAGTAAGTAGTTGACTTTCAAATCTTTCTCATTTTTTGCATAGTTTTCCCTACGTTTGGTAAGATGAAATGAAAGCACAAATACCTCTTGCACAATCGTACCAATGTGAGGCTCGACTCACTCCGATAAAGGGCAAATTCCAGCAATAACGGTCTGAATCTAATGTTCAGTTAACACCCCGCTGTCGAGCTGTCTTTTCCATGTCCTTTTTATCGTCATTAGCCTTTTCTCGTGCTCATCACTGTGGATTCTGTTTTACCGGTTCCTTCCAATATTCCCAGTCTGCATTGCTCTTGGTCGCTTATTGACCGCATTTATGGATTAGACTTTGATCCACAGTAGCTTATCTTCACGTAAGCTTATCTATGCTCCCACGTTTTGACTACTTGACTCGATCCCTGGAATCCCACCTCCCCTATGTCGGCACCCATTGCCAATTCATGTTGGATCATGTGACCGTGCGATTGCCTCCTCACAGGCATGCACACACACGCACGCACCCGTGTCCCTCTCTCTCTCTCTCTCTCTCTCTCTCTCTCTCTCTCTCACACACACACACACACACACACGCACCTTCTTCGGCACATGTTCCCTTGTTTAATTGTGACATGACCCTTGTATCCCGACTGTGATTGGACAGTCCCCGGTCGTGTCTACTCTTATCACTCGGTGTCCATGTTTCGTTCGGCCAGCTTGGCTTTGTTCGGCCACCGAAGGTTTTGTCCGCTCGATTGGCCCTGTTATCTTTATCAGCCTAGATCGATTGACTGTTCGATGAACTCCCTGTGAGAACGCCACAAATTGAAGTTTGTACCTGTGATTGTGATGTAACCATTAGTTACCTGTAGTACCGCCTTTATTGGACGCTAGTAAATCAATCTTAGCTAGTTCGATTCTGTCTTTTGGCTTGGCGCGTCACTCAACGTTGTCTTAGATCGCGAACAGATCTAACAATCACTTTCCCATTTATTCTAACCAATATATCGGTTCTCATGGACTGTGTAGTTGTATTAAAATCGCTCTCTTCTAAATTGCGAGATAACCTCACTACCTCTGATGGTTATCCGCACTACAGTATTGAAACCTTTGATTACAACATCAACAAATCAACAAACAATCAAATAGTGGTATGTGTATCAATGTCCATGAGAATGAAGTTTATCACAATGCATGTCCTGTTTTCTTGTGTAACGTACCCAGTGATTTGCATGCGATCTTACGTTCTGCTGGCCATTCACCTATTCATCAATCAATCGGTTCACGGATGCTCATGTTTGCTTCGAATAGGCAGTGAGAGGAAACACGTTATTTTGAATACCCTGGTGTTGACAGAAAAGTTTTATCCGAAGGTTTGGTTGTCCTGGGTTTTGACTTTTCATCCCTCCTTTGCACCTCGCAAAATGCTCCGATACCACTAAGTGCCCCAAATAATCTCTGTTGACGAAGCCTATTCACTGCTCTAGCTCCCGTGACTGAGAATTTTCCCCCACCAAAGCGCAAGGATGAAAAGCTAACATCCAGGATCGGTGAACCACTGGTTATTCACCTAGAGGAGTGGGCTAAAAACCCTGTTTCCGTACCAACAAAAGGCGTACGAACCACACACCTTTCTGCCTGTTTCAGTGAGTATCGGCTTGATCGGTCATCGAAGTGTATTGGGCTGCTTGGATGTTTGTCCTTGTCGGAACTGCATATGTATCGATGGATTGCAGCTTTCACACTGTCCCGCTGCATTTGGGTTCAGGCTTTTGTCAACCAATGTTTACCTGTGCAAATCTCCCAAGAAAATTCACCTCTTCTGAGCTGGAAATATTCCACCCACTAGCAACCCATGAACCTTAATCTTATAAAGATTATCGTACCTTGATTTGTTTCACGCATTTTGAACTCAGAATCACTTTTCAACCAAACCAATTAGATGGCTCTACTATCCCTCCTCTTCACACAAACATGCTCTCAAAACCGTTGCTATCCTTTAAGTAGTCTTGTGTGGTTCGCCCAATTCAGTTTTCAGGGCTGTTTCTTGATCACCGTAAATGAAGTTACATCTCTGTGACTGTTGAGTTTACTCCTTCCACCACTGTAAGCGGTACACTGTCCCATAAAGCGAAAAACTAGGATTGAGGATGCAAGTGTGTAGTCTTCGCTGCCCGATGAATACCCAGTGTGTAAAGGGCTTTTCGTGTTCTCCTGAACGTCTAACAATATGCTATTTTCACACGAAAACGTTAGTAATAATGTAATGTGATCGATTGTGTGCTGATGTGGTGGGAACTGATGCAGCTTTGTTCCCGGGCCTATGATTTTTCACGCAAACATGCACACATGCACCGACTCAAATGCACTAACGGTCCTAGCCTAGCGTGCTGTATCACTCTGCATTACAGAATCTGGTTACCCAACGGTGATCGTTGTTTTGGGTTGTTGTTGTTTCTCCCAGAAAGTGCATCAATGGTCTCGGTAATTTTATATCCTCCGCAACAGTCCAAACACCATCAGACCGGGTTATTTCTTGTCGAGCTAATCGCAATGGCGAAATGTGTTTCCTCGAAATATTTCTATTTGCTGCCTAATAGGATACAGTTAAAGCTAAATGTTTGATGAAAAATAAAGGAAGATAAACTGCGTAAGTTGATTCCTCTTATTTAATTTCTTCCACTCTCTTCTCAGTGTGGTTACTACAAAACTGCAGCAAATCAAATGCACTTCTCGGTTCCTGTCAAGCTGCAACATGTATATGTTCAAACTCGTAAAGTTCGTCCTTTTAACTCCATTTCTATCCCCTTTTCAAACAGTCCAATTTTCCCTCGCCTCCGTCCCAGAGTTTTCTGAACTCATTGCACCAGGTCGCGCGACCAGCATCCGATCGATCTCCAGCAACGCAATCCCATTTGAGCTCATCCTGCAACAGAGAAGTGGTGGAATCAATGAAGGACTGGTCTATTGGTGTTTCTGATATCAGTAATCTCCGTTGCAGTCGTGGACGCCGTCTTCCACCCACACCACTCGAGCGGTGTCCACCCAACTTCGGCTCTCAGCATTCTTTCGACGATAGCCTGCCCAATACCGGTTTGAATAAGGCCTATTCTTCCGTAGTTGGCTCAAAAATGTCCAGTTACGGACCAGAGTTTGTAAAGGCTGGCATCTCTTCATTTGAAGATCTTTTGGATGATCAACTAACTCACAGTAAGTAACAATAATCAAATCGGAAATGCGCCCGTTCCAACGGGGAGGCCTGAGCCAAACGGGACCGATCAAAATCGCCGGATCAGAATGTTCCTGTTCGTATTTGCACGTGTGCACGTGTGTGTGGTCCTATGTGAAATAATTCTGTACACACGCACAACGCACCGTTTCGTCAGAATCTCCTGAAAACCAATACATGAAGATTTCAGTTTTGGCAGATTTGGAAAACTAAAATAATCGATCTTACCCCGCATTCAGTCATCTTTGTTGGTGTGTTTTTATGGAAAGTAAATATAACAATTTGGCGTGTAGTGTTCGTGATAATCTCTCATAATGTTCCCTATACTCACTAAATTTTTCAACCCATTTACAGTTGACAACATGTAAGTTGCAGTAACGTGATAAATTGACAAGAACCGCGCGCGATGTTTGCCGAGGTAGCAAGTGGGTGGATCAAAGCTAAGGCGGTCCAATTAAGACCTGATATGAAGCTATGAAAACCCTGACCAAAATACTCGGTCACATTGGTCATGCTAAACTCCCTGGATAGAGGCCTCGATATTATTGCAACTAATGGTTGGAGACTGTGTGATATGGTCGAGTGTAGAAAACAGCGACGTTCTTACACCTACTAAGTGTCTTTGCCACCGTAGTCTACGGAAATTCTCCACTTTCTCTTCGATTCTACGTTCAACTTTCGGGGCCGATCAATGCATTCAATGATGGACGCATTTTGCACAGTCAGTTTGATTCCTTTAGGA